AAGCTAGATGTGTATCAAGCATTGATGCAACACGTGGCCAGGGACAATTCAGGCTTGAGCCTGGCTAGGAGGAAGGATGCCACATGTTTCTTGAGATGGATAATGTCAATGATGTCTGATAGTACCATCTTGGCATGCCACCAGAGAGCAAGCGGAAGTAAAACCGTGGAAAAAAGAGTCTCAACGTTCATCTTAAACGTGTATCAGAGTACTGGTATAGAAAAAGAAGATGGTTCCAGACTGTCCCTAGAGAACCACAGAAAGCTGGACGAGGTACGGAGGTTTTATAATAAGAAGTTCGAAGATGAGCATGATGTTCACCGTAACCTGGCCTCGTCAGAGCAGTACTCGAGACCCAGCGAGAAGGGGGAATACCAATACGTGTCAGGAGTGATGGGAATAGCCTACAACCCCTTCTTAGACTCAGAAACAGGAGGCGCTCACAGGAACCACGAGGTGGCGGAGCTACTGAAGTTTTGGACAGAAAGAATATTGGAAATAGAAACGGTAGAGAAAGAAGGGCCGAGCCTGGGCCTGATTCTTGAGAAAACACCAGAGGTGGTAAGCATACCACGTTCGAACAAGAGAGTTGAAGTGAACATGGGCGATGGAAATGGCTTGTTAATCACGAACTTGGGAGTGGTATGGAAGCTATTAAGACCCTCCTGGTGTCCACATCCCCACGCGAGTCTGATCGAGGAAACCACCGAGCGAGTGAGGTTAGCACCAACGGAAGATGAAGATCTGGCAAAGTTGAGTGTGTTGCACAAGCTAATCTCACCTCAGACGCAGGAATCAGGCGAAAAGACGAGCAAGCTCGGGTCAGCAAAGAAAATGGAGCCGGGTAGCTGTCTGGATTCAACGTGTGGGAACGGAGAGCACACCTGCGATGGACGGTCATGTGTCAGGATACTGTCCTTTCAAAAAGAAGACCTGGTCACTTGGTTTGAAGACATCACGGAAAGGGAGAAAAGTGAAGTGTTACGCGAGAACTACGGTGAACATAGCAACAGCTCTCGGATTCTTCTCGAGAATGTGTAGTCTGCAGTCACTGGAAAGACTAGAGTCTGAACACCATTTAGTGACGGCGTTGAGCGTAGAATCATGGCCTGGGGTGTTGCAGGTGACTCAAAAACACATCCGGAGCTGGAAGGTTGGTCTCGAGGCGGAAATGGGGTTTCCCATGAGCGAAGCTTATGGCCTGCCACTGAACGCAAAATCCTTGATAGGGTCAATGATGGCCAACTTGTGCGGAAGCCACTACCCACTGCACATAGCGATGGTGGAAGCATCCAGCCAGAGAGTACTGGTGGACAAGGCCTTCTCAGTGCCCAAGTGCGTGAGGTTGGCTCGGATATCGCATCACTCGCACAAGTTGTTGAGAAAAATCAGAGGGACAGTACCAAAAGAATTGAGAGATGACTTGAGTGAAATCTGGGGAGAAGATCTTTTGAAGTTGGAGAGTGAGAACACAAGCGATCACGAGAGACAAAACGTGATCGAAAAACCTGTGGGAGGTGCTCCAAACATGGAAGATAATGACACGATGCATGAGAAAATGATAGAGCTTGAGCCTCTCTTGGAAGCCTCGGGGGAGCGTAACCTCAGGAGCATTGAGATCACCCATGGAGAATGCCCATGCCACTGTTTGGCACAAACGGTGTGGTATCCAGATCACAAGAACCTTTGCCTGGTGTGGGATATGGAGGAAATTCGGTCGATCGGACTACCGGATCACCGGCAGAAGGTGACGCTCTTAGTAGTGAGTACGATGTTGGCTCTGAGATGGATAGAAGAGAATATAACGAAGTATCGGGAAGCGACGACGCCAACGGCTGAGTCAATATATGCGATAGACTACAGCAGGAGACTCGAGTTGTTTGAGACTGCGTGCAAAGTATTCGCCATACCGACGGAAGTCAGACACATATGGAGCCGTTTGAGGTACTTTCCATGGTTTCGGGCGACACTGACGTCTTGGTTGCACATGACAACGAAAGATCACATGAGAAAGCATCAAAAGGAGTATCGACAGTTCCAGGCCGAGATTGGGCCAGAAGCTTTCAAGGGACCCCTGTTGACCCACCGAAATGCGATCACGACAGGATGGAAGAGAGTGGGTAAGATGTCTAGAGACAATACCAAAGCGAGGGAATCGATACTAGAGGAGGACCTGGCGAAGAACGTGAGCTTGAGCCTGCACAACTCCTTTTGTTTGAACCGGGAATCTAGGGTGAAGGCACTACCCAACCAGGCAAAGAGGTTGCAGGAGCAAAGAGAATGGATGCGATCCTATGAACAGCTGAAGGCTTGGGAGGAAATCGTGATTAGCTACGATGATGAAGAAGAACTGTTGAGACAGTTTGCCGTATCAAGTACTTCAGGGTGTGGCACCTCCAAGGCGAAGAGTGCGAGATGAGTGGATAGTTCGAATGGATCTTGAGTCTTGAGAGGGAAGGGGGGGCTTGAGTGTGGATCCGGGTGAAACCTGGGTTCACAGAAAAAGAAATTTTAACGAATCAAATATTGTTATTAATATACTATATTTACTATATAAATCAAAATGCTGCATGACAATTTCCTGATTGAATGGGACAAAAGAAATTTTAAATGATTGGCTTAAAAAGCAAGAATTCAAGGGTGCAGGTGTGTGCAGATTTTGATTGCTGTTTAGCGATAGTGTGAAAATTTTACATGGCCGTGAATTTTGGGGTGTAGATAAACTTAAGTCTGCTGCGAACTTCTGTAAGTGACCACTGGCACTGTACCTTGAGCAAAACTTGATTTTCTGGGACTCACTGGCAGACGACAGCACGCGATGAGGACATCGATCTCGAGTCCAGGGAGTATGTGCCAGTCGGTCATATTTGGAAGTTTGACCTTGAGAGAAGCAAAAAACACTTAATTTTGGGGTAAAATTTAATTTTTCAAAAATTCGAATGGAGCCTGTCATGCACGATTTTCTCGCGATAACTGAAAGTCAAAAAAGAGAAGTCAGAACAATCGAGTGACAATTGCGGGAAAGTTGCAAGATAAATCAGTAGGAAATTGCTATTCGCAATTTCCGTCACAGCAATAATCTAGAGTAGAGCTGTCCCATTCGAAACAGAAAGAAGCGTATTCCCACGAACTGGATTATTGTGACTTGACTGGAGTATTATTCTAAACTGGACTAGAGTGAACCTTCGGTGGAAAGGTGGACAGCTTGAGTGTCCCAATGGTTCACGAGAAACTATATTCTAGAGTACAAACTTGTTCTTGTTGTTAAAACTGACGAACATTAAACTCATTTTAGTTACATTATTTAATTCTCGAGTTGATTACCGACTTGATTACTCCCAGTTCTTGAGCGTGCTACAATGTGAGTACTAATTTAAATTTCTAGAGTGTGTTTTATAATTGTTATGTTGAGGTAAGGCGAGTTTTAGGTTGATCCATCTGAAATGGATCAAAGTTCCACTGTCTAATAAAAAGTAACGTAACGGATTGTTCCAACCCGGTTTTTAGCGGCGTTCATGTATTTTGGGTATCTAGAGACCTAAGTTTGAGGACGTTCTTAATTCTAGAGTGGGGGGATATTTTAGTAGTAGCCTTTAAGCTGTAACGGGTCGTAGTCTCATGTCACAAACGAACCGAATTGGCTCCGACTGATTTGAGGTAGAAAAACACAAGAGATAGTGTCCCTGACTCTTGAGCCAATAGTTATAGGGCCTATTTTTCTTAAGCCTCATGTGTGACTGCAGTAGACGAATGTTACAATAGACTTGAAGGAGTTGAAAGAGTCACTTACCAACAACTCTGCACGTCGCCCCGAACTGGATTCTTCCGGCCAATCATCTTCAAATCCCCAAGCTAAGTCATATTCTGATGTTTTGCTAAACAAAAATGGTGTTGAATACGCAAAAGAACTCCGTTTTAGTGGTATCCTTGAATATATCTCTGCAAGTGATAACAAAGCTCAAAGATCGGATATTTTTGAGCATAAAGTTACCAATGTAAATGGCGTCTTAACCCATCCAGGAATTGATAATAATGAACCTGTTGTTTCTATTAAGCGACTTGGACCATTCAAGCCTGAAAGCACTCGACCAAGGACAATTATCGTCAAATTTAAAAACGAGTTAATATCTGAAAGATTATTATCAAGAGCAACCCATTTAAAAGACTACTCCAATACTTACAACCAAAAAGTATACAAAGTTTACCTGTCAAAATCCCTGAAACCAGACGAAATCAAGATTGAGAAAAAGGTACTAGAAAAACGCAGATTTCTCATTGACAACGAAAATGTTAAACCCAAAGACCTGAAAATTAAAAATCTCGAGCTCTTCAAGAATGGAGTGAAAGTTCAGTTAGAAGACTGACTATCTGACACCACCTCCATCACCCACCCGTTATCCGCCCTATGCTTTAATACACGAAGCCTCATTAATATAAATCGTAGAACTTCTTTCGCAAATTATATTCTCAAGAGCAATCATGACGTTATATGCCTAACCGAAACCTGGCTAACATCTGAGATAAGTGACTCTGAACTATTTCTTAATCAATACAATATTTACCGAACCGACCGTGAAATGAACGATCATGGTCACTCCAGTCATGGCGGCACTCTCATTGGAATAAAAAATGAACATAGTTCGGAACCAATTCGCCTTCCTGATGAAATAGTCCACCATTTCCCAGCTTGTACAGTCTCGTCCACTTCTGAAACCTTGCTATTTCTTTGTTGTTACTTTCCTCCTAGGACAAGTCCCTTTGCTATAGACCACCAATTCCTTGAACACTTCTTTATTTATCTTGAAAGTGTCTTCCTTTTATATTCAAACGTGGTTATATGTGGGGACTTTAACTTTGATATTGACTGGCGTGATTATTCTTCTACATTTCCCGACGAACAAAGATTCATTACTGGCATTGAAAAACTAAATCTCACCTAATCTGTTCAGTTTCCTACAACACGTGAAAAAACTTTAGATTTGCTTTTGGTGTCGCCTAGCTCAGATGTTCTTGACATCAAACCTGTAACAGACAACATTAGTAAATTGTCAGATCATATACTTGTCGCTTTTGTTATATCTTCAGTTCTTTACTCGCCTAAGCGTACAACACCCGGAAAAGTTTTCAGCTACACCAAAGCTAATTATGAAGCTATGAGGCTCCAGATATCGCGAAATTACTTCACAGGTCACTGTTGGTCAAACCCTAATGTTTTACTCTCGGAATGGTATGACTGGTTACAGCATATAATCTCCAAAACTGTCCCCATTTGAACGAAGCACCGCAGTGAGCTGCCTCCATGGATCTTATCCTCAACATCGAACGAGATAAAGCGTTTGCATACTTTTGAGAAAAAGTTTGGTCGATCGAATCCGAAAACTACTAAACAGAATGAAAAGGTTACAGTCTTGACAGGAAAAGACAAGGAAAACTATGAGAATGAACTAGCCAGCAACAGGAGTAAAAATCAGCTTTTCAAGTATTTTCGAACATTTAAGACAACGACCATACCGTCATACGTTTATCTAGATAAACTATGTGCTTACTCAGATCAGTCTAAGGCTGATCTATTTGCTTCCTTTTTCTCTAGCGTGTTCATCTTATCGTCATCATTAGATGATGAGGACTCAATTCGCAACCAATTTTTAGCGCACGAATATCAAATCATTGATACCTTTGATACTTCGGATGAATCTATTCTTGAGATTTGCCTTAACCTCAACGTAACTAAGTCACGTGGACCCGACAATCTACCCCCAGCGCTGTTCAAAAATGTCGCCAGTGCACTATGCCACTCCCTGAGTCAAATTTTCAATAAGATCAAACAGACATGTGTCTTCCCACAGCAATGGAAAACCGCAATAGTAACACCAATTCACAAGAAAGGTGACACGCGAAATGTAACCAACTATAGACCCATTTCTCTTCTTGATATATCTTCCAAGATCCTCGAACGATGCATGTTTCGAAGTCTATACAATCATTTCAAGCCCTTGATACACAATGCACAATTTGGTTTTCGAAAAGGAAGATCTGTCGAAATTCAACTTTTGATATATCTCGATCACCTTTACAAAGAAATTGAGTATGAAAATTCCATTGATGTTATTTACACCAATTTTGAGAAAGCGTTCGATAAAGTGGACCACGGGATATTGTTATTCAAACTTTTTCAATATGGTGTACGTGGAAATTTTCTCAAATTGATCAAATCATATTTGAACAACCGCTCTCAGAGAATTAAAGTAGGAGACAAAATATCTGGCCCAATTGAAGTAACTAGCGGGGTTCCGCAAGGATCAGTAGTTGGAGCTTTACTATTCCTGTTTTTCATTAATGACTTGCCATCAACGTGCGCTGACTCGAAGCCTCTTTTACTAGCTGACTAATAGTTCGACTTCTTTCCAGTCTGAACTTTCTCGAATTTATAATTGGAGTGTTGCTAATAAAATGCCCTTCAACGTCGCAAAATGTACTCACATCCACTTTGGTAAAAACAACGATACTGCATATAACTTCAACGGCGAAGTGATTCCTCGAACAGATGTTCAAAAAGATCTTGGTATTCTTGTTCGTAGCGATCTTAAATGGAACAATCATTTCAAAGCAGCTGCCGCAAAATCCATCAAAGTTCTCCACATGCTCAAAAGAAACACGTCGAGTCTGCCAGTTTACAGCAAACTCAACCTGTACAAAAGCATGGTTGTTCCATCCTTGCTGTTTGGATCAAATTGTTGCGCCTTATCTAAGACAAACATATCAGTTCTAGAGAACGTACAGAAAAAATTCTGTAAGTGGTGTCTCCCTCACATGAGCTACACCAGTGCTCTAACCTTCCTAAACATTCTTCCAGTTGCTTATTACATCCAACTGAACACTTTTTTACTTCTGCGGAAAATTGTGACTGATTACTTCGATTACAACTTCAGCGAGCATATTCAATTCTTCCATTCACCTCAGGACTCACGGGAAGGGCCTTCGCAAGGGTTTTCCCTGCAAGAACCTACCCAAACGAGACTTCGAGTATTGCGACATGGTCCTATAGTCAGTTTTACCAGCATTAGGCCCTTGAAAAGTTTATGTGAGCAAAATTTTTGGTTCCAAGCTACTAGAACAGCAAATCGCTTACCTGATGACATTGATATTTTCTCCTCCACCCTGAAATCGGACTTGTTGAAATGGTTCTGGGAATACTTCCATGCGTTTTACAATGAAAGCAATTCTTGCTCCTGGGTTACCTTTTGTGACTGCAATCGAAACAACTGTAGACTCGTTTTCAACAGAAATACCTTTGGGGGAAACCCCTTGTGATTTATCACTAAATCCAATATAATAAATAATAATAATAATTAATTCGAACTTGATACTCACATTTTATCGCTTGTCTTCTCGAGCCCATAAGCCAGTGCAGCGGCTGTTGGTTCATTAATCACCCGCAACACGTCTAGTCCAGCTATCTGCCCAGCATCTTTGGTAGTCTGTCTTTGGGAGTCATTGAAATAGGCTGGTACCGTAACAACTGCGTTCTTCACGTTGCTTCCAAGATAGCTTTCAGCAGTCTCTTTCATTTTAGTTAAAACGTATGCTCCAATTTGACTGGGTGAATACTTCTTGCCATGCGCTTCGAGCCAGGCATCACCATTATTTGCTTTCACAATTTTAAATGGCGCGTTTTGATGTCTTTTTGAGTCTCTGGGTCGTCAAAGCGACGACCGATGAGTCTTTTCGTAGCAAACAAGGTATTTTCTGGATTTGTAACAGCTTGACGTTTAGCGGGAATACCTACAAGTCTTTCGTCGTTCTTTGTGAAAGCAACAACTGAAGGAGTAGTTCTGTTTCCCTCCGCATTCTCCAGAACTTTGGCCTGTTTGCCTTCCATGACTGCAACACACGAGTTGGTCGTACCCAGATCGATACCAACAACATTGCCTTGGACCTTTCCGCTGGATAATCGCGTACTTTGGTACAACCCTCCGTTCAATTTCAAGGATGAATAAAACTACACAAAGAATACTTCAAATCATTTCAAAGAATACTAATATAAACTAACCAATACGAGAAGCATTTGCATACCTGAGCGCTCGAGGATCGCCTCAAAAGCTGTGTCATTACCATTTTGAGCACTGAAAACTTCAAAAAGAAGAATTAATTTTCTGTACAACCAAAATACTGGGATAATCAGGTGAAAAGTACCATTGTAACAGAGGCTACAGTCAGGAGTCCCGTCATCGTATTTAGCCTAATTGTTGTGATAAACTTATTAAATAGATTTGTTATGTTTGACGTTTGTGGAGCGCCCTCTGAGGAATTTTAGAGGCAGGTCTGTCAAGTGGCTTTCTGTGGGGAAGAGGGAGCTCGGGTGAGATTGTTCCTTGTTTTTGATTTTGTAGTTTGATTTCAAAAATTAAATCAATTTAATTGTCTTCTATTTTTTTATTTGCTGATTTATAAGATTCCCACTAACCACTTATCATGGGTTAGTTCAGTCCCCTTAAGTCCAGTAAAAATCCTTTCCTTTACCTTTACGCTGCGTCAATATGAGGAAAAACAACAAAGAGTGTACAAACAACTATGTGCATCGTCAGGATTTTTACAATAAAGTAATCTAAATGACGTCAAAACATCAACTTACAAATGTTATTTACAAACATTTCGCAACTATGTGCATCGTCAGGATTTTTACAATAAAGTAATCTAAATGACGCTAAAACATCAACTTACAAATGTTATTTAAAAACATTGGCGTGATTTCCGTTTTTGCTAGTTCTATATGTTTTAATTTAGTTTAATTTTACGAACATTGTTTGAAAGAGAATCTGTATATACTCTGTATATACGCTGTATGTTTGGACTATCTGTAAAATTTTTCGTAAAATTTTAATACCAGCTCGTTCTTAATTCTTAAAACTGATGTTTTTTTAGTATCCGTAACTTCATATATTTTAATCAACCAGTTTCTGAACTGTAACCGAACTTGTTTTGTTTTGTTTTGTATTGTTTATTGCTTGTTTTCTGATGTTGTGTTTTTGTTTGATGTAACCAATGAATTTTAACCAACTTTATTATTTACACTTTGCTATAATGATGCCTCGGTTTTTATTGTATAGTAATTCAGGTGTTCTTTTTTCTTCTTCTATACATTTTGGTTCTAAATATCATGTTAATAAATTAGCCAATCACAGTTGACCTCTAAGTTACGATTAAGCTTAAAATGATTTTAACCTCTAAAATTAATTGAACTGTTTTAAATTAACTTGTCTGGAAGTTTCTGAGTCAAAAGTTCGATTTAGTCAAGTACTTTTTACATAGAAAACAAGCCTGGGTATCTGGCTTGACAACAAACTGACATTCGAAACACACATCACTAAAAAAGCCAATAAGGCAAACGGCATGATAGCAGTAATTAAGAAAAGCTTCACTAAAGTCTCGAAACAAGTATTTTTAAACATCTACAAATGCTTGATACGGCCACACTTTGAATTTGCGAACTTAATCTGGCACCCAAAACTGATCAAGCATCAAAAGATCTTGGAAAACGTACAAAGAAGAGCGACGCGTCTAGTTAGTGGTATGAAAAATCTATCCTATTACGAATCCTTAAAGAACTGAACCTATCATCGCTGGAATACAGAAGGAAAAGAGGGACAATGATAGAAATGTATAAAATCTGCTATGGTTTGTATGATAGGAACGCCACTGCGGGACTATTCGAGCGGAATGATAGGGATTCTAGAGGTAACGCATGTTAAGTAGTAGTACGTAAAGCAAATCTAGAAACGCGAAAAAATTTATTCACGATTAGAGCACCTCTCGACTGGAACCACCTGCCACAGGAAACAGTGGAAAGCAAGACCATCAACGAATTCAAGTGGAAACTGGACAAACATTGGAAAGCGATTGGAATTGACATGTACGAATTCGAACGGAGATAGGAAAAATCATTTGAAAGGACCACAAGAGGCACTGCCTAATGGTCATAAAAACTTGACTTGAATTGACTTGAAAACCAAAAATATTTTGGGACTAAACTTTCAGTATTAACTACCTGCTCCTAAATTCATCGCGCGTGTTCAAGCCCGGTTTCTCTTTCCTGATATGTATTTCCTCCAATGTTAAAAATTTTGTTTGGTTGTTTGGCCTATCTATAATTTCCCAACTAAGATCTGCGCTATTTCCCTCAAGTTGGCATTGCTGAAGGTGGAGGCCTACCGGTGAGTCTGCTTTCTTATGTTCTTCAATTCTAGTGGTCAAATGTCGAACAGTTTTTCCGACATAGATGGAAGTGCATCCACTACATGACAATTTAAAAACCACTCTTGACTTGAGGCCATTAGAAAATGCTGACTTCAGTGATGGTAAACATGATTCTAGTTTTTTTGAGGTGAAAACCACTTGAACGTTAGTTAGTTTTCGTAACCTGTTTGGTTACCTCTATATTGCACCATCAGCATTGGGGGCTTCACATATTTTGGTGATTGAGTTGACAAACACCTCTCACTATCCAGGGGCTTGCCCTTGCCCTCGATGACTTTGCACAGGGCGTCTGAAGCCACATTTGCGGGCTAATTTTCAGGGTACTGATTTGGCAGCCATTGGGCTCTACTAGTTTCCGTAGCCTTATTAAATATCTACCAGCTAGACGTACTCCAAAAAACCCTGTGTTTAGTGCCTTGGATAACACTACGCTTATACTAAGTTGAGGCGCAGCTTCTATGGTTCAGTATAGTCCCTGTATTTGTTGGTTTTTGATACTAACTGCAAGTTACACTCCTACCATGCGATAAACTTATATTCGAATCCAGGAACGTCAAATTCCCCTCAGAATTAGTTTCCTCTAGAGCGAACTGCAGATTTGGATGAAGAGAATTGGCGGCATCGAGAAGACAACTCGGCTCCCCTCTGACTTTTCTAACAATGTCATCCACATACCTGAGGAACAATGTAACATTCGCCCAAATACTACAGAGTGACGTAGCGTAGAAAAAATATCTATAGACGACTGGCCGGCGTTAGTTACCTAAATTCTACTCGTTTTTCACCGTCTCGACTTAGCCAGTTGATTTTCTGGTCTGTTTCGGGCTAAGTAACAAGTTACTATTTTCAGGCCATCAGTCAATCGACTTTTAATCAGCTTTCGTTTACATGCGAAGAACACCCCACAGCTGGGTCTAGGATCCCCAGACTACTTGATTGCTATTAAAAAAATGGCTCGAATATCCTATTTTTCTATGTTCTTGATGACAGTTCTATATTAAATTCATTGGAGATGGATTGACACTTTCCTCTTTCTAGCTAATCATATTCTAAAATAACAAATCATACCGGTAATAATGCAAAGGTTTATGACATCAGAGTAGCTAAAAAGTCAGTTTATTACAGTCCTTCACCATATGATGTCTCTGGGGGGCCAAGCCTCCGATTCCGTGCTTTTTCTGTAATAACGTCGTTATTATTCCCAATTCTTGGCACGGGAGGGTATTGCTTCTTCCTTCTTGAAGCCTCCTTTCAGTCTATTGTCTCCAATTAGTTGTTTTATCGTGCGCAATCGTCACGATAAGAGGCTTCGTGTTTTTTTTTTGTTTTTCAGACTTCCGACCGTCTGTCACTTGCTATTTTATTTGTTGTTCTGTTTTTTGTGACTTTTCCGGCTAAACATGGCCGTTTTTGCATTTCTCAGAAATGTAACGTCGCAATTAGAATTTTTCTAAAAGTTTTCATCCAGAATGTTCTAGCCTCCTTCACATCAATATGTGACGACTAAGGACTCTAACGTCGTTTTCGTGCTGCTACGGAAGGTTCCGCTATGCCAATCCGGGGGAATGGCACATACTCCCCGGACAGTCCCTCTCAAGGTCCACATTGATAGCATAACGCCGGGTTATCGTCAAGTAGTGTTCCAGTTCTCTATAATTAACTTTACGAACCGCATTAGAAAATGAAATTTATCTACTCCACCTCAACTCACTGCGTGTCATAAATGGCATCGTACTACATCTCACTGCCTTTCAACATTTTCACAAAATTTGCACTATGAGGAGTGTCCTAGATAAAACTTCTTTTCTGACTACTTACGTCATCTCGCTATAAAATTTCTTCTCGCTCTTGCTGATTAAAAATTTGGGACGTGGCACGGCCACGCACCCGTTAGAATTGACTTAATGTCACTCACCAAGTATAATTATTCTTTTTGCGTTTGCCTCTATGTTAAAACTGAGAAACTCTGTGGCTAGGAAAGGTAATGAGGTACTTTCGAGCGAGCGTACTCAAACCCCACCAGGTCGCCACACAGTGAACATGTGTCCTACACAGATTTAAAACATCAGTCGGGTTTAAATAGGTTAATGTACTCACCTATGCTCTGTATATATATCTTTGTAAATAGCATCAACTAAAACTCTCATTGTTATTTAGCAATTGCAACACTTTAACCATTCTCAAAGCCCGGTGTAACCAAACTACAATAAAGCAAAAAGTTTAACAGTTTCAATAATCAAACTTAGTTGATTGGTACAAGTTTTAACACACAAAGACAATTAATTATCCCTCCCTCTCTCTTCATTTCAATCTCGTGTCACATCTTCATCTTCACTCCATTGCCTCTTGTTCCTGTTCTTCTGCCTCACTATCCTCCAGGACTTTCTTCAGCATTTCCACGGAGCTACAGGCTGTGCCCCGACTTTCCTGCTCTGACAGCCTCGGTTTGCAACCAGGTAGTAAGTCCAGTAAGTCCACATTCACATCTTGCTCCCGGTTCCTGCAAAAGCTGTTGTGCAGACATAGGCTCACATTCCGTTCTATGTCAGCTTGTAAGACCTCTCTCTTTTCGGCCTCAGTAGCAAAAGGCGCTCCAGCTACTCGCTTCACCGCCGTGGTAACAGCGTTCCTGTGCGTTAGGAATGCTCTCTTATAGGCTCTCGGTCCTACGTCTAGCTGGAAGGGTTGATAGGCTTCCGTGTTCCTGGACATATGACGCTTCGCGCGTTCATACATTCATGACTTCATCACTGCACGTAACCAACGCATCAACCTTTGCCTTGACCATATACTCTCAATGGCTTTAGATATCCTCAGAACCTTGCAGGTGGTTCTGAAAAGATCTAAGTTGTTGTTCAACTTCACGTTACTTAGTTGC